CCTTGACAGGCGAGGGCGGCTACTCCCCAGGCGAGCTGTCCAAATCCACCAGTGATGGTAGCAGGTGTAAATCAAACAGAAGAAAATTCTGATAATTGGATGACAAGGGAGAGAGCAAACACTTTTCCTCACCAAGGGGAGAGAAAACACTTATTGGTATTGTTGTCTACCCAAAAGTGAAACAAAATTACAAAAGAGAATTAATGTATTTTGTAAAAGGCACTTTCACCTCCGAGAACAAAAAACCCTCTCTGGTTTACTGTTATAAGCTCTCTAATGATTACAGTAGCAGTATTAGACTCTATTTCTCTCCCAATCATGCTACAGCTTTATATTTTGTTTGTTCCCTCAAAGATAAAGGGAAGGTTCAATGTGAGTCTTCATTTGCAGGGGGTGAAACTTCTTTCCCTTGTTAGAGTTTGTGAGTGTGATGCTGGAACTGGTGCTTTGGTTGACTGGTGGGTAATTGTTGCTCTGACGCTGACAACACTTAGGAAAATGAAGGTATAAATGACCAGAGTGTCGCAGAGCTGTCAGAGAGAACGGGCAGCCTGAGGTCTGTGGAACTGGAGCGGCACCTCAGCAGACGTAGACCTGCCACAGCGGAGGTGAGAGGGGCTGGCAAGGGGTGGCCGGATGGGAGCAAGAAAACTTGATAACCTCACCAGCTAGGAGATGCCAAGGCAGAGACTCGTCATTGTCCACTTTGCCCACGGACCATGAGGACACTTGGAGTCTGTGCTGGGGAAAGTAATCCCCTGCCAGGGACTCTGAAACATGCTTTTGATGGTTGGCACCATTTAGGGATTGTCTCGGGTGTGTGGCACCGTGACCATGGGAAGAAGTGGCAGGCAACCATGTTGCAGGAGTGTGTGGGAAGTGAGGGAGATTTCAGGGCTCTTTCCAGGGTGTGGGGCAGGCTTCTGAGGCAAGACAGGAGCTGGTCGGATCCTATCAACGGAGGTTGTTCTGCCACGGATTGGAGAGCCAAGTGGCTGTGGAAATCAATACGTCTCATCGACTGCTCAGACAGAACCGATTTAACATAACTGCCTGGAAATTGATAATGTTTTGATTTCTTGCTCAGTTGCAGCCACTGTAATTTTAGACACAATCATCTGCCCTTAGAGCCTTACACTAGTCCACACCTGTCCCTTCATCCTTGCTTGAATGGTTTTGAAGTGTTTGTTTTTGTTTTACCATAAGCTGACTCGAACCTTTTCAGGAGTGAGGTGGATGCCATCCCTTTGAAAGACAGCTCAAGTGCTTCTTCATTAAACATTTCAATTGGGGGCCAGGGTGTAATTCTGAGGTAGAGCGCTTGCCTAGCATGCATAAGGCTCATGACTCCATCTCTAGTATTGCACAAGCAGACTTACTTTAACCTGGACCACTACTAGTGAAATGGATTATAGTCTTTTTTTTTTTTTTTCAAAACTGGGGATTGAATTCACACCCTTGCACTTGCCAGGCAAGTGCTTATTCTACTGAGCCATCTCTCCTGCCCCTGAAGTGGATTATACACTAAACCAGATGTCAGTGCTTTGGGGTTCTCAATTCCAAAGCAGAATATTTCAGAAGGCTAAAAAATTTGTCCCCCCTTAGGTTTTCAGAAGTAGCCCTATTAATTAGGGTACTTGAGACCTGCCCTTTGTCATTTGCTAACAGCATATCTGCAAAATTCTCATGGCTTTCAGAGCATGAGAGCCGGCAGAAGGTGCCAGCTGAAGAGGAGCAGGTGCCCCCTACCCTAGGACTAGAGCAGGTGCCCCTTACCCTAGGACTAGAGCAGGTGCCCCTTACCCTAGGACTAGAGACTGTCAATCTATCTAATCACAGAATTAGACATGCAGAAAGCCGACTGGAACTTTGGATGATAGAATTCAAACTGCAAAATGCTTTTAGAGTCATCCTGGGGCTTCCAGTGAGGCTGGCAGGTTTTGGTAAGACCTCACCCAGGGACTTTTACCTCCTTGTGGGATGTGTCTGTGGATAACTCTTTCGTCCTTGTCAACATACCTTGAGTTCCTTCCTCACCATAGGCTGGATCATTCTGGTTTTTCTAGGCCCAGTGGAATATGGCGATCCCATGAATCAGCTTTGTATAGCCAGGGGTGCTGCAATACCTGGAGCCACCACTGGGACACACTATGTTGTGCCTCTTGCGTGGCCCGATTGTATACTTCTCAACCTCATCTGCCCTCTGATGAGGTCAGTTTCAACTCTTCCAAACCAGGTGCTTAGAGGAGGTGCCCATCAAGCAGGTGCTCCTGTTTGTTCCCTTTTTGACTTCCTCAGGGGTCCAGAGACAAAGAGCAAAAGTTTTGCTTTTTCAGAACTCTTTCCCACATGCAGGTGCTGAATTCTGAAGCACCCATGAATAGGGAGTGCTGTGAATGGGGTATTGTATCTAAGGCGCCGCCTCGGGGAGTGAATGAAGTCTGCTGGCATGGAACTGGGGCCTATTCTGAAGGGCCCACTCAGAAACTAATTGATGGAGGACTGTGGAAAAGGCCCTCTCTTGGCTTTTTTCCTCTGTTGTGAAGATTGCGATGCATGCTGTGGAGGGTGAGGGTGAGGGTGTGGTGCCAGACAGGAGGGCACAGCGCCTGGGAATCACTTGTACCATCCTAGGGAGAGGGAAAGAGGTGAGACCAAGGGAGAGATCTGACTGGAAGAAGAGTCTGGGCTTCACTCTAGAGCAGGTGAGAACCAAGGGCTTCTGGAGCAGAGTGAGGTGATCAGGGGCCTGGAGAAGTCCAGGTGTTTACAAGATGAGAAGCAAAAAAGGCAAGAAATCCAGGCTGAGCCAGGCATGGCAGTGCACACCTGTAATCCCAGCACTTGGAGGCTGAGGCAGAAGGATCACCATGAGAGAGGCCAGCCTGGACTAGGCCCTAATTTAAGAAAAAGGGGGTGGTGTAGCAATGTGGCTCAGAGCAAAGACTCGCTAATTTAGTTACCAATACAGAGAGAGAGAGAGAGACAGAGACAGAGACAGAGACAGAGACAGAGACACAGAGACACAGAGACAGACAGACACACAGAGACAGACAGAGACAGAGACAGACAGAAAGAGACAGAGAGACAGAGATAGAAACAGAGACAGAGACAGAGTAAGAGTAAGACCAGAGACAGAGAAACAGGCTGCCTCTAGGAGGCAGGTACCTAGGAGTTGATTTTGTCAGAAGGCCCTTCTTTAAAAAAAAAAAAAAAAAAAAAATCTCTCTGCTTAGAAAATTCCACTTCTGGGCCAGCCAGATAGCTCAGAGGATTAAAGTACATGCTTAGGGGCCAGGGGTTTGATCCCCAGCCTGCTGTGCCAGCCCCGCCACCAGGGCATGCTGAGAGGGTGGCGATTGAGACTGGGCAAGGTAGTGCGCATCTGTAATCCCAGCGCTTGGGAGGCTGAGAAACAGGAAGGATTACTACAAATCCAAGCTGTGAAGTGAGACCCTGTAGACCCTGTAGACACTGTACTAAATACATAAAAAAAGAAGAAGAAAATTCCACTTCTGGGCCAGGGATATAACTCAGCAACATAGTGCCTGTCTGGCAAGTAGGAGGTCATAAGTCCAATTCCCAGTACCAAAAAAAAAAAAAAAAAAGCAAAAGAAAATTTCACTTCTGGAGAGGCCTCCTGGACCAGCTTGGAGAAGGGACCTCCATGTGTGATACAGTGTGAGGAGCACAGAAGACTGCAGACTCTTGCTCAGAGCAGCAAAGGCCAAAGTGAGGTACAAAACATTTCTAAAAGACTGGCTGTGATGGTGCACACCTGTAATCCCAGCACCAGGGAGGCCAAGGCAGGAGGACGGTCATGAGTTTGAGGCCTGCTTGGACTACATAGTGAGTTCAAGGCCAGCCTGCAATACATATGAGATCCTGCCTAAAAAAAAAAAAAATCTCTGAAAGGTGTGACATGTGGCGTGTGGGTGCAGGTGCAGTAGCTCTGGGTGGCTCAGCAGGTGGATATGAACGAGGCAGCCTCAAGCCCATGCATGGGGTTCCTCTTTTTTTTGGCCACAGTCCTTACTAGAACAGTAGAGTATCGCTCAGGCAGAGTCCACCTTTGGGCCGTTTCATCACAGTGTAAACATCATAGTGTGAGCACATGCTAAAAATAGCTGCAGTATCACCAGGCTGCACGATCTTGGGGAATCACTGTTGTATATGTGGCCAGTGACTGACCAAAACATTGTTATTCAGCACATAATTATATTAGTGACATAAGGGGCATTTGACACAATAAGGAAAAAATTTCATCAGGACAGCATCGAAGACTGGGATGTAGCTCAGTGGCAGATCACTTGCCTACCACAGGATCAGCCCTGGGTTCAATCCCTGGCACTCAAAACAAAAAATCTCCACCTGGAAATAAGATAGAATTGCTTGGAGGCAGTGAGCTCCCTGTTACTCAACTGTAGCAAGCAGGAACTGGCAAACTGAAGGTGGTGATGAACACCAAAGGGGCTGACCACTGAACCCTGGGTACTTCATGGGGCCCCAAAGCATCTCTGGGTTGCTGGAGAACACAGATGTCCTGATGGGGACAATAAGCCCAAAAAAGCAAGGTGGGTTCCCCCAACATTGACCTTCCCTAGAGAGATTGCTGCTCAGCAAGACTGAGGAGGAGGAAATGGCATCATGGGAAGCCAGCACTGGGGGGAGAGGGGTGCTGCCCTCTCCGGTCCTGGCTGGGCCTGGGGATGGATCTACATCTCCATGGAGCAGATGTCCTGCCGAGTGAGGAGGCCCTGCAGATAAGAGGACAGAGCCTCGGTTGCCCCTCCCCAGCCGAGCTGGCTCTGTCCCCTACTGCCTTTCTTTCCTCTATACAAAGATCATGGTGTCAACAGGCTTTGATTAAGAGCAATTAAGATCAGAATCATCTATGAGAAGATTCTGGCTCTCTGATCTCTTCCAGGGCTAAAACTCCTCAGTGAAATCTAACATCCGGAGCAAGACTTACAATCTTTCTCCCTTCCCTCCATATCTACCCAAAACAAAGCAAGATGAGCCCATCCTGGGGAGCAGGGAGGTATCAACGTCAGGTGACCACAGTAAAGGTTTTGTTCCTTATGTGCCAACTACTCACCAGGGTGCCTCACTCACTGATCCTCACAAGGATCCGATGTAGGAGACGTTACCTTCTCCATTTTATGGGCAGAGAAACTTGTGGAAGGCAGCCCAGAGAGGTAAAGCCATGCTTCTTCGACACAGCTAGTGAAAGCAGAGCCAGGAGCTGTGCTTAAACTTATCTGACAGAGATGTTTTTACCCTGCTCCCTGCTCTTAGTGCCACACTGCCTGGTTTGACTCGGAGGTTCTACGGGAAGGTGCTTTTCTCTTCCCCGCCCTGAGCTGAGAATGACTTCTACATCTTGTGCTTTTACATCGAGGGGCAGTTTCCCTACTATTATTGGCCTTTCTGTTTCACTCAATGAGGTGGCAGGGCAGCCTTACTATGCCTGTTTTACAGATGAAGATGTCAGAGCTAGTGGCTGGGCTGGCAGAGGTAGAAACTCGAATCTAGGGCGGTCTGACTTCCAGGGCAAAAGCTCTTTTTCCTACCCCATGGTTTCTAAAGGACAAAGACCAAGGCTTGTCATGGAGCTGAGCCCAGGCCTCAACCCAGGAGGTAAAGGGCACACCCTTGGCTGGGGTGGACCTGACTGTCCCCTCCTCCTCCTGCAGGCGCCACCCCAGGTGAAGGATGCCGCTCTGGGTGTTCCTCTTCTTTGTGATCCTCAGCCTCAGCAGCGGCTCCCACTGCTCCCCACCCCTCTCTCTGCCCCTCAGGTAAGCAGACCCTGAGCCATCCCTGATGGAAGGGCAAAGTGCAGAGGGAGATGGAGAACTGAGCCCCCAGCTGGGCCCCTGCTAGTTCTTTGGGTAATGCCCATTGTTCATCTCTTGGAAGGCACCACACACTGAGCTCCAGAGGCTGTTCAGCAAGCTCTGAGCTCTTTGGGGGTGAATGGTACATGGCAGCAGAGGAAGCTTGCAGAGACGAGGTGAGGGCAGTCCTCACTGTCATCTCACCTGCCCTCCCCAACTCCCCGCAGGATGCAGCGGTACGCAGATGCCATCTTCACCAACAGCTACCGGACAGTGCTGAGCCAGCTGTCTGCCCGCAAGCTACTCCAGGACATCATGAGCCGGCAGCAGGGGTGAGCAGAAGCACCAGGGATTCCTTCCCATCCCCATGCATCAGACTTTGGGAGGACAGTGCTGGAGGCCAGGGACCAAGCTTGGTCTCTTTCCACACGTAGTGCCTGTCATTTCTGAGCTTTGCACAGCAGGAGGGCACCAATGTCAAACCTCGTCTTTCTTCCACACCACTGGGTACGTTTTCCTCCCTTGGCCAGACTCCAATGGTAGCAGTGCTGCTGGTCAGTGCCCTCTCATTGTGACTTGGTGCCAGCACACAAGGATGTGTACACTGTGCCTGGCACACAGGAAGCCCTGTGTAGTGTGAGCCACGATTCTGTTTCTTCTCTGATTTTTGTAACAACTCAACAAAGTTAGCATTCTTACCCCATCATACAAATTCACTAATCCTAAATATGGCAGAGCTAGGATCCCAATAGCCTGATTCTATAACTTGTACAGTTTTTAGTTTTTATTTAGAAAAAATTTCAAGGTGCTAGGCATGTTATAAACCTAGGGTCTTTATACTGGACTATAGTCCCAGTCCTTTCCAAATTTCTTAAAAAATCTTTTATTTATTTGGTACAGGGCCTTGCTACACAGGCTGGCTTGGCACGCCTTGCATGCTGTACTGGGGACCGAACCAGGGTCCTTGTGTTTGCCAGAAAGGTACTTGAACAGCTGAGCTATCTCCCTGGCCCCTAAATTTGTTCTGAGTTAGGCTTTCACTAAATTGCCCAGGCTTGTGATCTTCCCAGAGAGCTGGAATTACAGGCATAAAAATACCACCATGCCCAGTTTATTCTTCCTATTTTTCTTAGTACGTGTTTTCAGTATGTAATGTTTGCATTCCTTGTGTGGAGTTGGTCCATGAACATAACATTTCTAAATCCTATTTTTCCATCCCCTTCCCACCACCCCTTACCTCCCTCCATTTCTTGATTCCTTTCCCATTTGAGGAGAGCTCTCTCCTTACTCTCTGTTATCTTTATCCATAATTTGGGAAACATTTGAATATAAATTGCAGTCACCATGATCCTTCCCTCAGGTTATGTCTGCATGTGTCTCTTAGGACATACCAAAGGGCATCACCTTACACAGTCACAGTATAATTACTTTATCATCCATATTCAGATTGCTTGAGTTGTCCCAAAATCTAATACAACGGTTATTTCCTTTTCTAATCCAGAATCCAACCCAGGATTATGTTGTATCTTTCCATTTAGTTATATCTTTCTAGTTCTTTTCATTTGAAATAGTTCCCCTGCCTTCCATGGCATGGAATTTTCTGACTACTAAAAGGCTAATGTTTTAGTTGTTAGAGGCATCCCAGATCCAGGTCATGCACTCACAGATATAATGATGTGTCCTTCTCAGTGACATTGGTCCCATTGGTGGATCTGATCACTTGGTTAACCTGTTATCTGCCCAATTAATAATCGGCGAGGACAGTTTTGTAACTGTGTACACTTGTGTTTTCTCCCCTTCACTATTATATACACTGCACCGTTACTGAATCTAATTCAGTTGTGTGGAAGACTATCAGATACCAGAGCAGGCATAGAGATGTTCCCCTGCCCACCCACAACCTACCCAGTACAAACTTAAATTATTTCTCTTTTCCTAACCATGCAGAGATAGGAACCAGGAGCAAGGAGCAAGGATACGGCTTGGCCGCCAGGTGGACAGTGTGTGGACAGACCAAAAGCAGGTGGCACTGGACAGCATGCTGGTGGCCCTGCTGCAGAAGCACAGGTAGGGATGAGTGTGTGCGCACATGTGTGTCTAGGGACCTCAGACACTTCCTTTCTCAGGGGTTGCCTGGTAAAGAATCTCTCCTCTCCAAAGGTGTGGAGCTCTTACCAAGTAAACCAAGAACAAGGTGTGTTCTTCCACACAAAGGCTAGGGGAAGGGGAGAGATGGGGCTGCGACTGCATGCTATGCCCTGCTGCATGAACACGCAGTCAGAAGTCTGGCCCTGGAAATGCCACTCGCCGAGTGATTCTGGGATAGGTCCCAGAAACCTGAATTTCAACAAGTGTCCCATGCTGTGCATGACCTGAGAAGTCACTCCTGGATCGTCCACCAAGTTCACAAAGTGATAAAGCCAAAAACAAGCTGGCCTTCCTATCCCCCATGACAAACCAGCATGTACAGGCACACTGTCGCTGGTGGGGGAGACAATCGAGACAGTAGCTCCCATCTCCATGGCCCTCACATTTCCATCAGGAGTCAGGGGAGATTAGGCAGGAGTTTTGCCCTTTTATCGAGGAGGCAAAGAAAGGACTGCAGGTGGGCCCAAGTAAGGGACTGGCAAGCCCAAGACCTGCATTGTTTCCTTGGAGCATCTTCATGCAACATTCCACTTTTTTGCTGAAGTTTTTCAAGGATGGCACAAGTGTTATGGTAATTGGAGAAAAATTGCTAGAGGTGTTTTTTTTTGTTTTTGTGTGTGTGCGTGTGCGTGTGCGTGTGTGTGTGTGTGCTGCTGACAGTCAAACCCAGGGCAATGCCCAGGGGAGACCAAAGCACTCTATCCCTGATCTGTGTCCCTAGTCCTGAAGTCTGATTTTCCCATAAGCCCAAGTGTGTCCCAGCATGGCTGTGCCAAGCACTTCTGCACCAAACTATTAAGCAAATCTGGTTCCCAGCAGAGCTCTCTGTGTTCTCCCTTATCTTCTTCCAAACGTAATCAAACAGTGAGAGCCCAGAGATCTCCCCAGCAACAGTCTATGGTGGTCCAAACAGCAGGAGGCCACAAACAGGAGGGTGAGAGCCTGGTGAGAAGCAGGATGCAGGCCTGGGCCTGGTTCTGCCACCGACTCCAGCCACAGTGGTAGGCAGCTTCTTCATATCCTCCTCAACAAGAACAGGAGCAGGATAGCTCTGATCACCTTTAAGGTCTGTTCTGAAGGTGACAACTGTAGAAATGTTATATTGCCTCAAAGCAGGATGCCAAGCTGCACCTCTCATGCTGGGATTCACCTGCTATGACTCCCACAGAACAGCCCGAGGCAGAAGCAGCCCAGGGAAGCCAACCCTAAGAAGGCAGCTTTGGTCTGCAGGTTCAAAGCGACAGACTTCACACAGCTCACTGGAAGGGGCCTGGAGGCTGCTCCAGCCGTGGTCCCCTCCAGCTCAAGTACTGGAAATTCAGGGTACCACTAGTGAGCTGAGAACATGAAATAAGAATGAGTGCTTAGACCTTTGCAATGCAGAGCAGAGCGCAGCATCAGACACTTGTGCACAACTCACACCCTGTGTCCTCCTCATAGTCCCAGGAGGAAGCTGAGGTTCATGCTCAACCACTGTCCCACCCTGGAGAAGCCAACCAAGTGACCATGATGTTCCAGGCTCTGGGCTGGGAATCAGCAGGATGATGGTGGCCACTGCTGTCACAGAACTGATAATGTAGTATGGCAACCAGGACTTAATCAAGTTCTAGTATAGTCAATGCTTCAATTTGTGATCAACATATGCCAGGCAGTGATGAATGTCTGGCTAGGAGAAAGCCTATCCTGTCTGGGAAGTGACCAGTGCAGGGTCTAAGTAGGAGCAGTTGGCAGAGCAGGGGCTAAGACCTGCTCCACCTTGCCTGCAGACTTGGGCTTCAGCTCCTGCCCCAGAGCACCTCCCACCCTCGTTCCAGGGGTTCTGCCCTAATCTACCCTCCACAATCTACCCCCCATGATGTCTCTGCACCGCACTCTCTTTTTCTTTCTGCAGGCGCAATTCCCAAGGATGACGATTCCAGTCTAAGGTTGGGCCCCTGGTACCCCACACACAACTGGATCCAGTTAATCTTATTTCATTTCCAACCTACTTTTTCCTTTGTATGTACAATAAAATTCCCCCATAATGGTCTGCATTTCCATTTACTTTTATTATCAGCCTAATTGTTTATGTGTTTTACATAGTTACAAACCAGGAGGGGAGGACAGAAATTGCCCAGGTACAGCTGGCAAGTGAGAAGGCTCAAGTGCAAACCTGGGCACTCCAGCCCAGAACCAGGCTTTTTTTTTTTTTAATGTACTTGGTATAGGGTCTCACTATGCAGCTCGATTTTGTAGTGATCCTCCTGTTTTTAACCTCCCCAGTGCTGGGATCACAGACGTGCACCAACATGCCCAGACTCCGTCACTGATTCAGCACACCCTGGGGGTGGGTCCGGCAAAACATTCAGGACTAGGCATCGAACTCTGGTCCTTGTGCTTGCCAAAGCAGGCACTTAGTCTGCTGAGCTATCTTGCTGGCCCAGAACCAGGCTCTTAACCAATGCTCCTAGCACTTGCTTGGGCCAAACATCCTTCAATCACCAATCACTTGCTCATTCGTAAGTGACACCATTTAGCACCCACCATAGCACTGCTCTAGGCACTGGGGAGACAGCTGTGAATACAATCTCTAAACTTACAGACCTTATATTCTAAAGGGGAAGATGCTACAAAGAAGCAAGTACAGACTGTGAGATGATTACCAGGTGCAGAAGAGGAGCCTGGGATGTGGAAGAGGCCACGGCATCTCCAGTCTATGTATATGCAGGCCTCAGCAATGACGGGACACCTGTGCAGACCTGAAGGAAGAGTGGGAGCTGGCTTGGGGAGCATGTGGGTGAAGAACTTTCCAGACAAACCCAACACAAAGGCCCCAAAGCACGAACATCACAGGAGGACTATCAAGCCCAGCCTGGGCAGCTCAAGCAGTGCAGGCAGGAGTGGGGAAGGGTGTGAGAGCCAAGAGCACGAGCCAGCTCCTGGGGACCCTCAGAGAGCTAAGACTGAGTTCTAAATATCCGTCTTCCAGGCATAGTGGCACACACCTATAATCCCAGCATTCGGGAGGCTGTGGCAAGATAACCGCGAGTTCAAGGCCAGCCTGAACTGCATAGTGAGACCCTGTCTCAAAATAAATAAATAAAATAAAACATCTAGCTGGCTTTTACTGGATCAGGAGCTCCAAATAAGCAGAGTTGGGCATCACAGGCAAAAAATAAAAATTTAAAAGGCTGAAGGAACAGAAATAGGGAACAGAAAGCAGTCGTTTCTAAGTTTTTTAGGACTAGGGATTAAAACTCCTCCAGAAGAATGAGCTATATCCCTAGCCCTTTTAATTTCTTTTTTTCTTTTTTTTTTTGAGATATGATTTATTAAGTTGCCAAGGCTATCCTTCAATCTGTGATCTTCCTGCCTCAGCCACCCCAGTAGCTGGAATTATAAGTATGTGCCACTCTACCTGGTCAGTACTTTATCTACCACCCATCCCTCAACTAGGGATTAAATCTAGGCCTTTGCAATGAGCTACATCCCTAGTTCAGACTTGGGTCCCTTCCACCCCAGCCTCTTGCTGCAATTGTAGCTGTGTACCACCACATCCAACTCAGTTACATATACAATTGAAAATGAGGACTCTTCCTATCAGTCAGGCTTAGGTAGCTTGGGTGCCTGATGCTGGTGCCTGTGAAGCTTGTTTTTGGGAAAATGAGAAATGTTAAGGTTATGTGGTACCTGGCATAAGAGAATCCATTCTGATTTGGTCTGGCTTACTGAGGCCTAGTGCAGGAGCTCAGTCTAAAACAACAGCTTTCCATGCATTTTGTTTAATAGGGTCATGTAAGGACTTGGTCTCACCCTGGGTAAAATGGAAGCCATCATGGAGCATACATAGACCAATATGATCTCTGCTGTGTTTAAAATCACCCTGAAAGGGGCTGGGGAGATAGCCCAGTGGTCTAAGTGCCTGCCTGGCAAGTGCAAGGACCCAAGTTCAATCCCTGGTACCGCATGCCATCCCAGGCATGGTGGTGCATGCCTGTAATCCCAGCACTGGGGAAACTAAAACAGGAGGATCCCTACAAGTCCAAGCTGTGTACTAAGACTTTAGCCAATTAAAAAAATTTAAGGGCCAGCCAAATAGCTCAGCAGATAAAGCACCTGCAACCAGGTGCAGGGGTCAGGGGTTCAATCCCTGGGCCTGCCATGCCGGCCCCACCTCTGGGGTACACTGAGATGGCAATTGAGATGGCATGGTGACGCATGCCTGTAATCCCAGCTCTTGGGAGGCTGTAAACAGGTGGATCACTACAAGTCTGATCTACTAGTAAGATCCTGAACACCCTATAGACCCTTCCCTAAAAATATTTTTTTAAAAAAATTAAAATCACTCTGAGAAAAGCTCAAATTTTGGATATATTCCTATGTGGAGGCCACTGTTGATAGGGTATAGGGACTTGCAAGGAACCGAATGACTCCAGTTTTTGGCTGAGGAACTGAGAGCACTGAGTTGTCCCTTAGCAGCTCTAGGAATAGGGGTAGAACTAGGAGTCTGGGCCCAGATATGTTGAATGTGAGAAGCTTGTTAAACATCCAAGTGAGGACAGCGAGTAGGCAGCAGATGAATAAATCCAGTGTTCAGAAAGGTTTGGGGTAGGTGTCACCATGTAGAGAGTCCTTAAAATCAAAGAACTATGAGGTCACTGAAGGGGTACAAAAAGAGTAAAGAAGTCCGAGGACTGAGAGACAGAAGGAGCAGGTGGTAAAGTAACAGGGAAACAAGCAAGAGGGAAATCCCAAAACCCGACTGAAGAAGAGTTCCAAAAATTAAGAGGAATGGGGTGTAGCTCAGTGGCAGAGTGGTTGCTTAGCACATGCAAGTCCCTGTGTTAGAAGAGGAGAAGAAACAGTTATCTATGCTGCCCAGTGTAACTGAGGGGTCAAGTCAGTTGAGAACTAAGCACAGGCATTAGAGAAGCGGGATCCAGTAGCCTTCGTAAAAACAAATTGGGTCAAGTGGTGGAGCCCAAGGTCTGATTCAATTGGGTTCAGGAGGAAACGTGGGAAGAGGAGCAGCCCTGGAGAGTGCTCACTATGACGGCTACAAGACACACGTGGCTGCTGAACCCTTGAAATGTGGCTACTACACACTGAGATATGCTTGAATTCAAACCTTGGTACACAAAATAATTATCTCAGTGTCTGTATTGATTACATTAACATAATTAAATTTATTAAAATTAGTTTTACTTCTCTTTATGCGTGTACTGGAATTAGATTCAGCACCTTACGAGTGTTCTACCACCAAGCTACATTCCTTTTAAAAAAACATTTTATTACAGTCATCAGCAAATGTATAATCACTCTAATGTTGTATTATATTGTTCAGTAGGCAGCACTGGCAGAGAGAATTTTTTGAAGCAGCTTTACCATAAAGGAATGCACCAAAATAAAGCCTCTTTTATCTGGACTCACGTCCTCAGACATATCTACCTTCTGCATGTTTTTTGGGGTCTCACTATGCAGCCTGTGCTGGCCTCACATGAGATACTACCGCCTTAGCTTCCCAAGTGTGGGCTTACATGTGTGTGCCACCGTACCCCACATGCTTTGCATCAGGATCAGTGAGCTTCTAGTGTGATGAAAATGCCTGTATTTTAACTCGGGTATATCCATGTAGTTATATACAGGAATTCACTGAGCTGCACATAAAATTTATGCATTAAACCTAAAATAAAGCCACTGTGAAGCCTGGAAGACACGATGTCTGTTTTGCTTAAAAGCGCAAAAAGAACTGAAGCATCTCAAATCTGCTGGCAACTCAATGGTGAGCAATGCACCCGCTTCCCTTTCCAGCCTAGGCCACAGCCACCAGGAGAGGAGAGTGTTTGAGCCAAGTTCTGAAGGGCTGGAAGCCAGGTCTCCGGTCTGGAAGCACTAGACCTGTAAAACCAACTGGGTTCTTTAGAGAGTTAGTTCAGACCACCTGCTCTCACAGGGAACCCAGGCCAAGAATGTAAAGCATGGGAAACTTTGCAGGGATGCTCTGGCTGAGGGGACAATGAGCACAATGGGGAACAAAGGACCCTCCAGGGGAGAAGGCTGGCCACGGAGGGCGGGCATCCACTTCAAACAATTGAGGTGGGCAGAGCAGGCCTCAAACAAAGGAGAGTTGCTGAATGGAAGACCCAGAGAGCCCCTCTGTCTCCTGGACCCACCTGCTCATCTTTTTCCTTGGCCTGTCCAGACAAAAGCAAAAGCCCAGGGTCTCTCTCAACTTCCAATTAGTTTTTCAAATGACATAATGGCCTATGAGACCCACTGCTACTTGTGGCTTTTGAGGTGAGTGCAATTATAGAGGTAAAAACCATCATGCCAATAACTCCAGGCAATTTATCTTCATTAACTAAAGACACTAATGGCATCTTAGAAGACTTAACCCCTTCCAACAGAAGTGTCAGGCTCCTAAGAGCTATATATTCTTTTCCTTACAGAAATGCTCTAATCAACAGGGAACTTGTCACTTTTAACGTGACCTCTTATGTCTGTATTAAGAGTTCACAAAGACACTTCCATGCATGACTTCCTTTGCTCCTTACAGCCCTCTGTGGGAAGCAGGGCAGGTCTCACTGGCTGGCTTCCCAGAGAGGTCAGGTGATTTGGCCTGGGTCATACAACCGGTTGGCAGAGCTGGGGACTGACTAGAGGGCAATGTTTTCTGTGGCTCTGAGACTCCACACCAGTCACAAAATGTGAACTGAGAAGTAATATGAATGGGAGGAGGACCTTGTAGAAGCTGCTCACTGGATTACTGCTAATACTTAGGAAATGACATCAATATGGATAGTCTTGGATTTACGACAGGGTTGTACCTAATAAACCCATTTTAAAAAGAACTTAATCCGAGTGGTTTGATTTGGCCTGTGGCATGGTGTGTTACACAGGTGGAATTTAGTGTTTGATGGCATTTTATGGCCAGGTATGTGCCAAAAGAATATTGAGAACTT